TAGAAACAGCTCTAGCAGCATGACTGTTAAGAGCTCAGCTGCTAATGAAAAGGGTGACAGTTTGAACTCAACCCAAGGCTCCATAGGAAAAAGACCTAGAGATCTGATTTTGTTAAGAGTACAGCCAAGAAAGCCCTGTGGTGCAGCTCTACTCTGTCACAGGGAGTTCAAAGAGCTGAAATTGACTTGACAGTACCCAAAAAAGTGGATTGAAAACCTACAAGAGATCTTACATTGTTGTTCTATGCCATCAAGTCAGAATCAACTAATAGATGACCCTCCAGTGGGTTGCTCATCTTTCTCTAGTAGAATAGCTGGCAGATCCAAACTACTTGCGTTTGAGTTCAACTCCTTACCACTAAGCCACTAGTGCTTCCCTAAGATATTATACCATTAAGTCAGAATCAACACATAGTGAACCCTCCAATGGTTTTCGGAGATAGTAAACTAAACTGCACAGGAGGAATAAATAGTTGGTGAACTTGAACCACCAAAGAGACATGGTCTTTGGGCAAACAGCACAACTCTTGACAGACTATGCTACCAGACCTTCCTTAAAAAGTATTCTCTGTAAACTGCACTGGTGATGTTAGTTGCTGTCAAAATTCAACTTTGCCATCAACTTAGTCTAACCAATAGTTAACTTCACAGGGGGTTTCTGAAGGCTATCAGTTGGTAGGGAGGAGATTGTCCATCTTTCTCCCGGTGAGCCACTGGCAGATTCAAATTGCCTGAGGCTTGCTGCCTTTCAGTTAGCAGGACAACTCCCTCCAGACCCCAGAGCTCCTGTCAAGTCCCTTCTAACATATGATAATTCCATGTGTGCAGTGTGCACTCCACTCCATATGGTTTTCAAGGCTGTGATCTTTTGGAAGATCAGCAGGCTTGTCTTCTGAGTGCCTCTACATGGGCTCAAACTGACAACTATCTGGCTAGCAGTTTAGTGCTTACCTGTTTGCATTCCCAAGTTATTCTTGTGTTCTGTGCAGCTAACTCCAATTGATGGGAACCCTAAATGACAGATAAGAATTACCCCATTGAGTTTTCTATGCTTTCTTCTCTCCAGGAGCACACTGCCAGGTCACTCTCCCATGGAGATGCTGGTGAGCTTGAATTGCTGACTCCTCAGTTAGAGGAGAGCACAGAGCCCCAATTGAGCCACAAAATTAGACTATTAGCATGTTTAATAATTATGTGCCTATCAACTTCTTTGAAGAGGAAGAAAAGATCAAAATGGATGTCAGAAGAAACTCTGAAGATTGCACTGGAGCGTAGAGAAGCCAAAGTACAAGGAAGAATTCAAGATACTAAAGAGCTGAACAGAAGATTCCAAAAGGCTGCTCGGAATGACAAAGCAAAATACTACAAGGAAATGTGCGAGGAACT